GTAGGCCCTGTGCGGCAGCGACTGTTCTTCGAGCCGCCGCCGCAGCTGTCTGAGCTTCCGCACGAGTCGGTCCTCCGTTAGGTTCTTAGTCTTCCTTCGTCCACTGCCCTTCCTCCTGACTCGCCGCTGTCTGCCCCTCCTCGTTACACTGAGCAGCCGGTCTCCCTTACAGAGCGTCGTGAGCCTGCGTCTCGTCCTGTCTCCCCTGTTCGCACTGCCCGCACTGCTCGTCGTGTCCCGTGTCCGCGTCCTCCTCCTGTGCCAGGCACTCACACTATGGCACTTCGTCCCTCCTCTGCTCCACAGCGCGTCCCGCTGCCGTCTCCTCCTGCGTCCTCTCTTCCTGAGCTTCCTGACCCTGAGTCTGACCGTGTTCGTGCTGCTAGCCCCACAGTCATGCGTCTTCTCGCTATAGTCGTCACTGACCCGTCGTTTGAGTCCACTGCTGCGTCTGCCTTAGTTGCTGAGCTTGTGGACTTTGCTGCTGCGTGTCGTCTAGACTACGCCACCAGTCTTGTTGCTGAGTCTGAGTCTGTCTATCCTCCGTCCGTCGGGGGGTGAGTGTGCTCTTGGCACGGACGTCCTTGAGGACAGGCAGGAGGACTTTGAGTCTCTTGCGGCTGCTGTACCTCATCTCGTGGCCTGGCTGCTTGCACCTGAGGGAGACCCGGATGCACTGGACATCCCGACCCCGCGCTCTTACGTAGAGGCGATTTCGGGTCCCTACTCCTCTTAGTGGCAGACAGCCATGGACGCAGAGATGGCATCCTGGAAGTCCACAGGCACCTATGTCGACGCAGTTCCCCCTCCTGGGGCGAACATAGTCGATGGCATGTGGATTTTCAGGGTGAAGCGGCCGCCGGGTTCTCCGCCTGTCTTCAAGGCGCGTTACGTGGCTCGAGGCTTCAGTCAGCGTCAGGGGGTTGACTTCTTCCAGACCTTCTCCCCTACCCCGAAGATGACCACTCTTCGGGTACTACTGCACGTTGCCGCTCAGCGTGACTACGAGCTTCACTCTCTAGACTTCAACACAGCGTTCTTGCAGGGCAGGCTGCACGAGGAGATCTGGCTGCGCCGCCCACCTAGCTTCACTGGGTCGTTCCCTTCTGGTACCCAGTGGAGCCTCCGGCGGCCAGTCTACGGTCTCCGCCAGGTGCCTCGTGAGTGGCACGACACACTGAGGACGACACTCGCGGCTCTTGGGTTTGCTCCCTCCACTGCTGACCCGTCGCTGTTTCTTCGCACCGACACTTCGCTGCCGCCGTTCTACATCCTCGTGTACGTCGACGACTTGGTCTTTGCCACTGCTGACACTGTGGCACTGGCCCTTGTGAAGTCAGAGCTGCAGAAGAGACATACGTGCACAGACGCGGTGAGTTGCGCAGCTACCTTGGCTTGCAGATCACCCGGGACAGAGCACGCCGCACCATCACCCTGACCCAGTCACACATGGTGCAGCAGGTCCTTCAGCGCTTCGGCTTCCAGTTCTCCTCACCACAGTCCACTCCTCTGTCTACCGGTCACTCGCTCTCAGCTCCACCTTCGGACGAGTCCGTAGAGTCGAGTGGCCCGTACCCAGAGCTTGTGGGCTGCCTCATGTACCTGATGACCTGCACTCGACCTGACCTTGCGTACCCTCTTAGCATCCTGGCTCGCTACGTTGCGCCTGGGAGACACCGGCGAGAGCACTGGGAGGCTGCTAAGAGGGTGCTGCGCTACTTGTGCAGTACATCAGGCATGGGGCTGGTGCTTGGAGGACGGGGTGATGTTGTCCTCACTGGACACTCAGACGCCTCTTAGGTTGACGACCTGGCTACGCAGCGGTCGTCACAGGGTTACACCTTTAGCCTTGGTTCCGGCTCTGTCTCTTGGCGGTCTACCCACTCGTCTTCTGTTCTCAGCTCCAGTTGTGAAGCTGAGATCTACGCCACAGCCATGGCTGCACAGGAGTTACGCTGGCTCATCTACCTGCTGACTGACTTGGGAGAGCAGCCTCGTTCTCCTCCAGTTCTGTACGGTAACAACAAGGCAGTCCTTGCCTTGTGTTAGGAGCACAGACTGGAGCACAGAACGAAGCACATCACTTTTGGTCTGCGTTACTTTCTTGCTCGAGAGCTGCAGCAGCGTGGCCAGCTTCGTCTTGCTTGTGTGAACACCCGGGCCAACACTGCTGATATATTCACCAAGGCACTTCTGCCTAGTGATCATCAGCGGCACTGCACTGCTCTAGGCCTCGTGCCTACGTTCTCTCACTTGCTCACTGCTTGACCTTGTTTGTACTGTGATCGTTATATATTCCTGCATGCTTACACTTGCTAGGTAGTGATCACTGTACTGTTTGCTCTCTCTTATATAACTATGCATGTGAACTGGCCATGTGGCCTTTTGTTTGTGCTCAGAGTGTGTGGTGACGTCGTGATCCACCCTGAGATTTCTTTGTTTTTCTTGACTGGTCTTGTGACCACTTGTTCTCCCCCACTTTGCCTATGGGGGTGTGTTAAACTATATTAGATTTTGTTGTTTGTAGGCTGTAGTGGGGTAGCTTACATGGGGTACAACTTTCTAGGGTTCCCACTTTTGTATCCCAACTGTTTCTAGTCACACCATTCTAGTCTCAGATTCTAACAGTAGGGTAGCCCATATGGGGTACAGCCCAATTAGGGTTAGTACTTGTATCCAACTCTTACATAGTTCATTCATTTTCCTGCTACTTTCTGACACCAGCGCCTGCCTGCGCCAGCCGCGAGCATCTGCGCGGACGCCCCCCCCCCCCCCCCCCCCCCCCCCCCCTCGTTGGGGGTAGCAGCCTGCAGCCCGTCCCTCCCCTCCCTCTTCCTCTCTACTTGCAGCACTTATTGCTGTGGGGGGGTGAGGAGAGAGGTTAAGGGGGTGGAGAGAAAGAGAGAGATATATATATGGGCGTCTCATGTCGTTTCTCGTTCTATTTTTATCCGTCGTTTCTAGGCGTTGTCGCCCGTCGCTCTCACCGGGCATCCACTGCGGGGATTAAACCGTAGGCGGGTATCATACTGAAGGGCCCAGCCGCTGCACAGTGATTGATGCGCTCACTATCAGAATGTTATATTTCTCTAGTCTGCAGTGGGGTACTCTATAGTGAGTACAGCCCTGTTAGGGTTTGCTATATGTATCCCATTGTTTGCTAGTAAAACCCCCCTTTTTGCCTATTCTCTCTTGCCTAGCTAGCTAAACCCTAGCTATGGCTCTTGCGTTCTAGCTACTGTTTCACCATGCTATCAGAGCAGGTCGACCCTCCTGGGTCGATCCTGTGGGTGGGCCCACCCTATGTTTCCGCTGCTGTCTTGTCTGTCGCAGGCCCCGTGGCATGCAACGTTTTTTTCTTCCCGCCACGCGTTCGGGGCGCATGGCGGATTTCTGCCCGCCGCGCGCTCGGGGCGCGCGGCGGTTTTCTGCCTGCCGTGCGCCCCGAGGCGCGCGACGGTTTCCTGCCCCGCGCGTCACCCCGGGGACCCGCGCGTCCCCCCCCCCCGTCGACCGTCGCGCCGCCCTCGGGGACCCGCGCGCCCCCCCCCCCCCCCTCCCCCCCCGTCGACCGGCGCGTCGCCCCTGGGGACCCGCGCGCGGCCCCCGCCATCCCGTCGCGACGCCCTCGGGACCCGCGCACGCCCCCTGTGCTCCAGTCGCGCCGCCCTGGGGACCCACGCGCGCCCCCCCCTGACCCCGTGTGCCGCGAGACTTCTGCCTCCCCGCGAGTGGCGAGTGTGGGGGTGGCGAGTATGGGGGTGACGGGTGTGTGCGTCGTCCCCTGCTCCTCCTCCTCCTCCGTCTCCCACTGCTGCAGCTACCGCTGAGGGGGGTGGGTGTGTGGGAGCCGAGGGAGTGGCGCTAGGGGGGTGTCGTGGGAGTGGAGCTAGGGGTGCAGCAAGGGGTGTGTGAAAGGGGTGTGGGACAGTTGGGGGAGGTTGAGCGGAGGTAGCCGTCGTGACGTCAGCAGCGCCAGTAGTCCGGGGCCCTTGCTCCGGTAGCCCAGCGAGCCTGCTGCGCCAGTCGCCCGTGGGTCCGTTGCTCCTGCCACTCGTCTTAGCCGCGGAGCTAGTTACCCCTGTAGTCCGGGGCCCTTGCTCCGGTAGCCACCGTGCGCGCCGCTCCTGTTGCCCGTGTGTCTGCGGCTTCACCCGTCGCCTCCTATCTCCACTCCTCTCACAGTCCCTCCTCCTCACTTGCCCTCTATGACTGCCTCTAGCTTTGCTTGTGCTTGTGAACTTCTTATGCGACTGCTTGCTGTGCTGATCATACCCCACTTTGCCTATGGGGGTGTGTCAGAATGTTATATTTCTCTAGTCTGCAGTGGAGTAGTCTATAGTGAGTACAGCCCTGTTAGGGTTTGCTATATGTATCCCATTGTTTGCTAGTGAAACCCCCTTTTTTGCCTATTCTCTCTTGCCTAGCTAGCTAAACCCCAGCTATGGCTCCTGTGTTCTAGCTACTGTTTCAACACGCACTACACCAACTAGTCTTCATGCAATTAAGGGGGGATGTTAAAATATGGTATTCTTCTATAAGTGCATGTATAGCTAGTAGTGTAAGGTCTTGGTGGTATACCACCCCTTTGCCACCTTTCCTATATCTTGTACCAAATTGCCAACCCTTTTTCGTTGGCCAACATTTCTCGCTACTCTCGTTCCTCTTGCCATGGCTATCTCAAACTCTAGCCATGGCTCCCAACTATCTTGACACATTGTTAGTCATTTTATACAAAAAAAACTACGGTAAAGAAAGTTAGTGGGGTGCGCTTATAATAAGTACGGCCTCCAAAGGGGGGTGCGCTTATAATCGAGTTCCGGCCATAAGCGCCATGCTCCAGATAGGAGCGCGGACGACGCCTATATCGGGGGCCATACGGCAGTGTAATTTATGGTGCTGTTCGCCAGCAAATCAATTTTTGAACAGAAAAAGATGGCATCGGCATCGCGACCGCATTTGGAAACGAAGGCGGAACCCTCATCCGAGGTTTGGGCGTAATGCCGCGCGAGAAACTTCTCACGCCCGAAAGGCGAAATCACGCAACCGCATCGGGAACCTCCGTCCCCACCTTTCCCCCAATGGCGCGAAACGGCAATGCGACGGCTGTGCCGTCGCTGTGCTTTGAAAAACGCGGCATGGCGATGGCATGGCTTGGGGATGGAATTTTGCCTGGGGACGAAGTTTCGTCCCCGCTTCCATATGCCGTCGAGCAATTCGTTTTGGTGGACAAATGGGGGTGTTCGCCAGACACCCACTTTGACTGTTGGTTTGGACGGTAGGGGAGGCTCGGCACCTTTTTTACGGGCTGACCAGGCTGACGGAGGTAAACGAACCCTAACTGACGGGATCAGGAAGGCGAGACCCACCTTCCTGATCCCGTCGTTATCCCGTGGTTTTTGGCTTCACAGGTGCTGGCGAACAGCCCCTATGAGATCACAATTATCAATCAGCCGAAGACCAATTCGGAGAGCTGAGTAATCTGAAGCGGGTAACTACCTCGTGAAATTACTTAGACCTTAGGCAGCAAGTCTGATCATGTAATTGCGACACGTCCTCATATCATGTGACACCCCCTGTGCAAGGTACTATACTTCTCCCGCGCAATCCTGGTGCTCGGGCTTTGGCGCCGCCTTGGGGGGGACGCCTAGGCCGCGTTCAATCCAAAACATCAGGGCGACTCGACAAAGTTTGCTGACGCCAGGCGCGCTTGGCGCGGTAGGGGCATGTTTCCAACGCCGCGATCCCTGGCCACGCGCTCCAACTCTCTGACGCTCTGCCGCCTCACTCACTGCCGTCTACCTCCCCCTCGTGTCTACTCCCCGCCGCCGACTCTCCTTTCCCATCCGCCATCGCCTCGCGTCCTCTTCCCCACACCGTCGCCTCTCCTCTCTCCCCCTCCGTCGTACTCCACTTTCCCCCGCCGATCACCTATCCTTCCCCCGCGTCGCCTCTCCTCTTTCCCCCGCGTCGCCTCTCCTCTTTCCCCCGCGTCGCCTCACCTCTTTCCCCCGCCGCTGCCTCTCCTCTCAAATGGTCCTTGCATTGATAGTCCAGGAATTTGCAGACATTCAGACGAGTACATATAACAACCTAAACAGCACCATCATCAGAACAGTTACCCATCATCTTTCCCCACATCGGTCATCCCCCCCTCAACCGACGTCGCTTGGTCTCCTCCCCTTCCTGAGGGCGGGGAGCATGAGTGAAGCGCCCCAGCAGTGGTGGTGCAGGTAGCTGCCTCAACCTCCTCTCAACCCCACCCCTCTCCTCCCCACCCCCCTCTTCCCCCCTCCCCTGCATTTTGATGTTCGCTCTTATTCATCCGTTCTGTTTCCCACCCCGCCCCCTCGACTCCCCCAAGCGGCAGTGCAGATTCAGATACGAGCAAGCCTCGTGACCATCGCCTTGTACACTGGCCGCCCTCCAAGGTGGGTGGCGTGGCTTGGAGTGTAAGTGTGAGCAGGAGAACGTGAGAGGGTGGGACTGTGGATGAGGGAGAGGGAGTGTGGGTGGATCAGAGGGAGAGCGTGCACGGACAGTCATAGTGTGAGGGAAAGGGTACAAGGAGAGTGTGAGATTGATAGTGTGTAAGACATTGAGAGTAACAGTGAGCGTGAGCAAGATATGGATCGCCCCTTTTGGCGCCAATTCCAATGAATCATCTCGCCTCTACACTTGCATCCCATCCCATCAACCGGCTCTTCAACTGTTTCCACCTCCCCATCCGCTCCATCAGCCCTTGTCCCATGCTTAAACAATCTTCCCGCCAACCCCCCGTTCCTTTCCTCTCCATTGTGCCGGCACCAGCCACATCATCATCGCCCCTCCCATCACTGTACTACCCCTCCTCCCCCGTGAGCGCGTGGTGCAATGGAGGGAGGTGCAGCAGTAGCGCCAGTGAGCGACACGGCCTTCTCCATGCCACGCTTCTACGACTACCCTCCATACACCGCGCTGCACCTTGCTACCTCTTATCCCTGCCTATCAAGCGTCATGCTCTGTTTTGCCTCTTCACTCGCATCCCATCAACCGCTTCAGCTGTTTCTACTTCCCTGCCGTACGCCTTCACCCCTCTGCTTTGGCATGCCTTTCCCTTTCTCCCTCCCTACCACCCCCCTCTCCCCCCCTCCCCTGCAGGCTGCAGCCGATCAAGGCGACGCGCGAGCGGCAGGTGCGGCTGTGGGCGGATCTGATCGTGGCGTGGTGCTGCCACCACCGCACGCTGCTCGTGCCCCTCGACCACTTCCCCCTCTTCCACCACCCCGCCATCCAGCGTGAGGGCTTTGGGGGGCAGTGCACACGCGTGCTGGGGGGTGTTGAGAGGGAGAAGATGAGCGAAGGGGCATAAGGACAGGTGGGAGGGGGGTGGTGGGGGCAGGGGGTGAATGGGGGAAAGGGGTGTTGAGGTGGAGGTGGTATGGTGTGGGGCGTGGAGATGACTCTTTTCTTGTATATGGAAATGGGGGCATGGGTACAATACAACCTTCACCCCTAGATCCCTCGTTGCTCTTGCTCCCCCCCTCTCTCTTGTAGACACTCTTAAATCGGTTACAGTATCGATTATGATGTGTGTTACAACACTGTAGTTAAGACTGAAAGAGGAAAGCAATGGGTGGGTGGGTGTTGACAGGTGGAGGGTGGATGGTGGGGCGGGACGCGTCCAGCTGAGAAAGCATGGGGAGGTTGGTAATCCAAGCTGATGTGAGAAGGGAAAAATGGGGTTGAGCATGCTCTTGACCTCCCAGCACCTCAGCTTTGATGCATTTGTTTCTCACCTGTTCCTCGCTCCTGACTCAGCTCTATGCACATCTGTTTTCTCTCGATTCATGTTCCAACTTCCTGTTCCACTCTTTGTGTGCGTGGAATCAACCATGCCAGGGAAACTGACATTCGAGGCGCGGCAGGTCTTTCTCGAGGCGCTCGTTGCAGAAGGCAAGCTCACTCCCACTAACTTGCGATCCTCCCAACGCTCACATGGCCCCAACGCTCACATGGCCCCAACGCTCACATGGCCCCAACGCTCACATGGCCCCACGCTCACATGGCCCCACCGCCCACATGGCCCCGACGCTCACATGGCCCCGACGCTCACATGGCCCCAACGCTCACATGGCCCCAACGCTCACATGGCCCCAACGCTCACATGGCCCCAACGCTCACATGGCCCCAACGCTGCTGTGCTCTTAACACCCACATTTCTAGGCGCATGTATTATTCCTTCCGCTCCCATTCCTTCTCAACAGCATCACCTTCGTTCTTTCTCCACTCAATGCATCACCTGCAATGGCCATCCTCCACTCGTTTCCCAGTGTCTTCAGCCTGCAGAGTTCATGGATTAGGGCGCTTCGTTCCCATCAAGCTCATGTGTCCATGAAGTGGAACTGTGCATTTCATCCTTTGCTCTCCCTCCCCCCGTGTGCCAGGGAGGGCGGAGTGGACGGATCGCAGTCGGACAAGGTGCCTCATTCTGTGGAAGTCCATCAACGACTGGGTCGACACCCTGCTGCACTTCGTACGCCCGCCCCCCCCCCCTCTCTCATGTTGTCCGTGCGTCAATCACTTCCATTGGTGGTGTCAAGAAAGGTGCTGCAAATGGATAAACTAAAGATCCAAATGCCTGTAGCAGTGATGAACGAGTAGGCATGCACGGTGGGTGGTGCAGCGAGGTCTTAGCTGATTCAAGGTGGGCGGACAAGATCTCTTGGATTGGAGCAGGTATCGTGTTTTGAACGGCCGGGTCCTCAACGCTGTGCACGAGCCAATCCCGACGTCATGCCGTTTCGGTTTGTCCCCAAGGCGAAGAGAGCCGTCTTGACGAGGCAGGGGCAGCTCGGCTGATCGCACACAATGTCTCGTCTCATCGTGAGCTGCCCCGGCTTGGCTGCGGTCCTCCACAGCGTGGCTCGAACCCGTGCTCATGCTTGCCATCTCCAAAGGAATTCGCCAGCAGAGGAAAGCTGGGCGGGGCAGGGACGGGTTTGAGGTGTGCAACGGGGAGGGGCCATGGCGGTGCACCTCTGGGGTGGGGTGCACTGTGGGCGTGGGGTGCAGTGTGGGCGTGGGGTGCACTGTGGGCGTGGGGTGCACTGTGGGCGTGGGGTGCACTGTGGGCGTGGGGTGCACTGTGGGCGTGGGGTGCACTGTGGGCGTGGGGTGCACTGTGGGCGTGGGGTGCAGTGTGGGCGTGGGGTGCACTGTGGGCGTGGGGTGCAGTGTGGGCGTGGGGTGCACTGTGGGCGTGGGGTGCACTGTGGGCGTGGGGTGCACTGTGGGCGTGGGGTGCAGTGTGGGCGTGGGGTGCAGTGTGGGCGTGGGGTGCACTGTGGGCGTGGGGTGCACTGTGGGCGTGGGGTGCAGTGTGGGCGTGGGGTGCACTGTGGGCGTGGGGTGCACTGTGGGCGTGGGGTGCAGTGTGGGCGTGGGGTGCACTGTGGGCGTGGGGTGCACTGTGGGCGTGGGGTGCAGTGTGGGCGTGGGGTGCACTGTGGGCGTGGGGTGCACTGTGGGCGTGGGGTGCAGTGTGGGCGTGGGGTGCAGTGTGGGCGTGGGGTGCAGTGTGGGCGTGGGGTGCAGTGTGGGCGTGGGGTGCACTGTGGGCGTGGGGTGCACTGTGGGCGTGGGGTGCACTGTGGGCGTGGGGTGCAGTGTGGGCGTGGGGTGCACTGTGGGCGTGGGGTGCACTGTGGGCGTGGGGTGCAGTGTGGGCGTGG